GAGAGAGAGAGAGAGAGAGAGAGAGAGAGAGAGAGAGGGCAATCAAATACAAAAATATTTAATATATCTGTATGAAAATATTATATGTTAAAAACGTTAAACTCAAGTATGATTATTATATATTTACAATAATTTATTATATAGGAAATGGTGTTTAAATGGTTTATTTTATTATAAAGATGTAAACTAATTGATGCAATTTAATCTGATATTACAATTATCACACATTTAGTATGTGAATGATTTAGCATATCGTACTTATTATTAATAAGTTATTAAACATACGATATTACAAAAAAATATGTTTAGATTTAATTATTTTATATATAAAATTAATTATAATTTATTTTAATATTAAAGGAATTACAGTCAAACATCTATGTTATCAACAAAACGGTTCCAATGAATTTGGTTGATAACATAGATTAGTTGACAACATAGAGATAATTTTAACATTATGTCTATGAGGTTGGTATTTGGGTCATTGTTAATAACATAGAGAAGGTGACAGCATAGAAGGTTGACAGCAAAGAAGTTTGATTGTACAACGTATTTTAATATTATATAAAATAATAAAATTATATTTTATTTTAAATGTCTATTAAATACGATTTCACGGGTAAAGTGGCGCTAATCACGGGCTCGAGTGCGGGTATCGGTGCCGGCATTGCCCTCCAGTTGGCTCAATCAGGTGCCAGTGTTGTGGTCACCGGTCGTAACGCAAACAATGTGACAGAAGTGGCCAAACAGTGTCTCAATGTATCGCCGAAAGGCATTAAACCTCTGGAAGTGTTGGCGGATGTGACCAAACGGGAAGATCTTCAACGTCTGGTCGACCAGACTATCGGACGGTTCGGTAAACTGGATATTGTGGTCAATAACGCGGGCGCCCTCTTCTTAGGCAATATTATTGACCATAACTTTTACGACAATTACAAGACATTAATGTCTGTTAACTTGGATTCTGTCGTATATTTAACGCATATATGTGTCGAGTATTTGGAAAAAACGGGCGGAAATATAATTAATATTTCGAGTATAGCCTCAATGCGAACCGTAAGTACAATATATGATTAAAATCAATAAATCTATATCCTAATGAAAATCATCATAATACTTATTATAATACTTACAGTATATCACCTTAACCAAAAAATAATAATTTCTATTTTGTAGGTTCAAATGGCAACCGCCTATTGCGTGTCTAAGAGCGCACTCGACATGTTTGGCCAGTGTATGGCCGCCGAACTCGGACCCAAACGCATCCGGGTTAACACTATTAAGTATATTTAATCTAGCTCATTCGATATTAAATAATCTAATTGATAACTAATTACACCAAACTGTGCAAAATAGTGCCGGATATTCACCCACTGGTATTCACGAGTCGGCGGGTTTCAGTCGTGACAATGTCGAGGCCTACACCGAGCTCTGTAGGCAACGCCTGCCGGCGGGCCGAGAGGGCCGACCCATCGATTTTGCGCATGCGGTTCAGTTTTTGGCCAGCGACCATGCCAAGTTTATCACCGGGGCCAATCTACTGGTTGATGGTGGTAATATAGCCGCCAATTTTTGCACGAATACATAATTGTAGAGATACACGTAACTATTGATTAGTTATTTGAGTGAATTATATAAAGTAACATAGTTGGATATTTATTTTCTAATATTTATTTAGAGTGATACGATTATAAGTTTTAATTAAATTTTTGCCTAATATATTCCTAATTTTATGATAACATTACTCTTATTATATGCAGATTCTTGTTATCAACAGTATATTAAGATTACGTCCCAAATATGCAGAATATCTAATTACAAATGCAATAATTATAGAGATATTAATTAATTGTTATGCAAATCTTATTGTAATTTTAAACTAATGTTATTCCTATGGTTAACGCCATATTCCCCAACACTTTCTCTCTGTACTCTTATGTGTAAAACGTCTCAATAAATATATTGAAAGGGTTCACCCTTTAATGATTATAAATGTTAATATGTTGTTGTAGTTATAAACTAAAAATTGTTGTTGCATTAATTAACAACATAAATATTAAAACTTTTACTAAATTTTAATTAAAATACTTTATATTTTGTGTAAAACCGTGTTTTTGTAATTTGTTTCAAAAAGTGTAATTTGAATTTATTCTGTATTCTGGTTTCTGAGTTTAAACAACAAATAAAACTAATTTTTTTAAAACTAAATTTTGTATTTTGTATATTTCGGTAGGGTGGCCAACGGGCCGAACCCTTATAATATGTTAATTGTGTGGTAATTGGTATCTAATTGTTGGGCATATCTCAAGACATTAGCCATCGCGCACATCCACATCTATTCCTATATACCCTGGTCATTCACCGGTGGTCTGAAGGCAACAAGATACTAGTTAAATATTTAATTAAATCAAAATTACAGGTAAGAAAATAAATTTTAAGATTAAAATAATAATATTAGTTTTACTACAAAAACATTTTTAAATAATAATATTATTATAAACATAGTAATAATAATTTTTCTATGACTTTTGCATAGCTAATTATAAGTAGAGCATTGCATTTAACTATCCCACTTATTTTAAGTTAATTTTAACTACAGTATAAAAGGTGGAAATGATAAAGTTTAGCACTAAATTAAATGCAATAACTTTAATCATGGTTAACTCAGATTACTATTTTCTAAAGTACTGTATATTCTTTATATCAAATTATCTAAAGTATATAATGAATGCATCCATTTTGCACTGCTTTGGTGTCTCTACTTATTGAGTGCCAGTAATGAAAAGTTTTATAATTAATTGATCCAAATAAATTTAAAAGTACTTGTAAGATTTAAATGTTAATAAAATGAATATATGTTAATCGGTTTTTATTTTCACTCAAATAAAACTATACTATAAAACTGATCAACATACATTATTTTATTAAAATTTAAATCATAGAAATATGTTTAAAATTATTTGTTCAATATTTGGATTAATTTGTTGACAATAACAGCATTCGTCACATGAATTGATTCACTTGTGTCCACAAAATCACTTATAATTGAAGGGAAATCCTTTGAAAATAAATTATGTTTTAATTAATTATTATTCAATTGAATGCATAACTAATACATGCCTTTGAATTGGGAATCAAATAGAAATGATTGCAAGTATTGAGACATTCATTACTCTTGTCGTCCAATGAATCCAATTGTGAAGACATTAATATAACCACAGATTTGTCGCTCATTTTCATCCATTTCTTGTTAACCATTGTTTTGAAATTGTTTCCAAACTTTTGTTTTTGATTCAATCTATACGTCCATAACATTCGGATCCGTTTAACCATTGTTTCCAACATTAGGTCCAAGTCTTGAGATATCATTGCTTTTCTGGAGGTGTTTCCCCAAGAGAAGTTTCCCTAAGAGAGGTCAATTTAACATTATAAGTATAGGAAATCCAAAAGAGATTTCAAAACCGTTTCTTATGAAGAGGTGTTTCCCTAAGAGAAGTTTCCCCAAGAGAGGTTGCACTGTATACAAATAAGCAATAAATATTCTGGGTTTTAAATAGTACGTTTATTGCAATAAATACCTAAAATAGACATACGGTAATTGCATTTGCTCTCACCTTGACCTGTCTATGTCAAGGTGAGACCCTCGCCTTTCACCTTGACCAGAACACTCTCACCTTGCAAATCAAGGCAAACCTTGACCAGTTGGCAACCCTAACCACACCCGAATTACCTTAATCATATTATATAATAAAACCTCATGCTGCAATAAAATGGAATTATTATTTAATTATTAAACAGAATTTCCAATATATCTTGCTATAACATTTGTAAGACATTTAAAATGAGTTTACATACAAATAATAGTGGATTTTGCAAAATCATTGTGTGTTTAATAAATTATATATTTTCTTATGTTTATATTGTATAATATTTGTGATTAGAAATAGCAAACGAAACAAAATGCAAAATGATATACATTTTGTATTATTTTGTTTTGTCATAATTATTTTTAGTTTTATAATGTTTATTTAAAGTTTTAATTTATATCCGCAATTAATTAATGTATTTTAAATATATTATTAAAACAATTTTTATAAAATGTCATACATGTATTAAATTATTTTAAAAAATTAACAAAATTAAAACTCAAACATTCTGTAATAATTTCACAATATTTTAAACACCAAATCAAATGACATGTCTTATTGATAGCAACAAAGATATCATAACAAAAATAGTGTGAAATTTCAATTGCGATGAATGGTTACAGAAATCGCGATCACAAGTGCACTCATCAATGCGGGCGCCGATACGGAACTCTGTCCGGCATTTGAAACCTTTGGTCAGATCATTGGCCGGAGCGCAGAATCGGGACCATTTGATTACCTGACCTTTTAGGCACAGTATAGCACAAAATAAATCATATGTTATTTTATACTTATTGTATGTGTCTTAATTGTATTTATTAGTAATAAATATATGAAATAAATTATGCTATGTCTTACCGACGGGATTAGAGATGGCCTTCAAGTGGCAATTGTGCGGACACTCGGCCACCGGTACGAGAGCTGTACTAAACTGATTAGTACTGCAAATATCGGGATTATTATAACAATTAATGCCTTTACAAAACGCGACATTATATTCACAGATATAACACTTCACACAATCTAAACAATTAAATAAAAGTTAATTACATTATGCAGATTAATTAAATTATAAATTAAAATATTTAGTTAGAATTAAATAAATTTATAAATTAAATTTACAGACCATAACTATGCAGTAGTAAAGTTATTGTAACTATTACAAAGATTAATAAATTCATTGTTGATATTTGTCACTAAATAATTTTTACAACAAATTTTTTGCCAATTATATTTTATGCTGTTACACATTATTAGCGTAAAATCAACTAAATATGGTCAAAAAATATTTATTAACTTTATGCAATTTCATTGAGACCAGAAATGTTTTATCCATTAATAGTAATGACAATGCATTTTGGGATATTGTGGTGGAAGTTGAAATTTATTTGTCTATTTTTAATTTTTATTTATACAATATGTACTTTGGCGTAATGAATGAAATATAATATATTAATATTATAAGTTATATAATATTGTTTTGTTTAGTATAATGCAATGTAGTAGTTATTTATTGTAGAGTAGTTATTGTTTTCAATATACAGGTATACCTGTACTATAGTTATATAGAAATTATGATGATTATGACTAGGTATTGACAATAATTTAATACAAGTTACATTTACATAAAATATATTATTTATTGTAATTTATTACAAGGCCTTATACAATAATTAATAAAAATTTTAGTTATTTGAAATGGAGAAATGGACATATTTATATTGAGTAGAGTTATTAAAACTTGTTGCAAACAGTATACTGCATACTGTATTAAATTTTAATAAAGTGAATTACTATGGCTCTTCCTGTCGTAACCTGTCAGCGAGTGACTGGTTAATAGTGTTGGGATACCCCTACAGTGTATCCCGCTCTCCCACAACCCGCGAGGTAATCACATCGTACTGTTACACATGCGGTCACAAATTACCCAAACAAAGTGGACACTTTCGCCACCGCTTTGGCAGCAATTGCTCAATAAGTGGTCACAAATCTATTTATTTAATAGCATTTATTATAATTAGAAATTAAATGTATTTATTTATTAAATGTATATTAAACTGTATATTATTCATTAAAAAATAATTACTGTCAACAATTCAGGTATTTTAATTTGTTTTAATGTAATGACTATCAATGTGTCCGCATTTGTACCTAGGGCAAACTGTGGACCACCATAGATTGCCTCTTGCCATGTATAGCACTTCGTGCACATACTCTGTCAGCTCAGGTATGCCGTACTCTACGAGTTGTGAGCCGTAGTTAATACACGCATACCATTGATAGTGCACTTCGGCCACCATCTGGTCGATGGCCTGTTGACAGTCCCAACCCTCCATTGCCATTAACAGGTACAGGTAACTGTATTTACCCTCATCTTTTAACACCTCAGACCTAACTGAATAAACTTCATTGACAAGTGTCGTCTCTTTGATGGCCGACTTGTTAAACGCCAGCCAAAGGGGATCAGTGGTCAGGCTGTGAGCCATGGCATCCAAATTACTACATCTCTCTATGAATATGAACACCATATCTCCGCCATAGTCTCTCTCCCTATACCCGTACAATAAAAATTACGATGATAAAATTAACTCTCTCTCTCTCTCTCTCTCTCTCTCTCTCAAACCTACCGCTGATACCAATACTCTTCATAAGTCATAAGTTTGTTGATTCCACAAAGGTCACTTTTGGGACTAACTTGGTAAACAGGTTGGGCATAGTTTGTTTCTGTTTTTGATTACTGCCAGTGATTTATTTAACATTATTGTTATTAAATGTAACATAATTGTTTTGTTAAACACTATTATTTTTGTTGTAATTAATAATTACAACATGGTCATTGCCATAATTACTAATTATGGCAATGACAGCATATTGTTATCAAATTTGTTTCAAAATGGACAATAAATTAATTTAAAATTATAATGTTTAGAATATTTTACCT